TCTCTCCCTGAACAATTGATATCTCCAGATTGTGCGAATGGTGTCGTGAAAGTGTCGAATGCGTTCCGGCCGTGAACCCTTTCAGCCATACACAAATTGAAAAGTCTCCGACTCGTCGATCAGCACAACGACCAACCACAACTGCTGATGCCCAGAGTCTGAGAGCAGCGCTAAGAGAGACGTCGAATACATAACGTATACTAACGATTCAGCATGCCCGCACCTAGGCGCAAGCAAGTTTGCTTTCTTTCCTTTTTGGCTCCAGACCAGGACTGAAGCCGAGATCAAAAGACCAATCATCGAACGGAGTCCGCCACAAGAGGCGGACGGAGGAAGAATAGGAAGGCCGGAGAGAGAATTGAGCAGTGGAGGAAAAGACTATAACATAGGAAGGTTGCAAGCGCTGACGGATGGGCAGCCACCATAAGGTAGCGCCACCATGCCTCCGCTTCTTCCAACATCAGCTCCATGCGTTCATTTCCTTTTCCTCGACTCTCCCAGTCGAACATCAGAGCATAAGCTTGGCGGTAGTAGGAAGTGATGTGGCGGAACGAGCTCGCCGTGACTTTGCAGTACCGAAGATTCGAGACAAGAAACTGAATGAATCAGTTAATACCGCCACCAGAGAAAGGGTAGCTGTGAACCGTCGTCCCAGTCCCAGGAAGCGCTTTGTATCGAGAAACCGTCGCCGACCAAGAATAACCTCTAGACGAGGGATTACGAGCCTGTAAAGAAGTGAGCCATATGAATACCAGGAAAACAAATATATACACACGTACCTGCGGCTATGGCAAGTAACGAACTTCTCCATGCACGCTGCTGCACAAGTGCAAGTGAGGCAGTGAAATACTTGATTCGGAGCGGCGGCATTTCGATTTGCAAGCCCAAAATTCGAGAAAGTTAAAAGTTGGTGATAACCTGCAGGATGACGCATGAGCTTTTGCCCAAACAGGAAAAGAGGGAATACGAGGAGTGAGCCGGAATAGCCCTGGAGGTCTGGATCTGGGATAAGGCGGCGGTAGATGACGCGTTTCATATCTGGGGAAACGGGACTGTTGCGGCCATCTCAAACTCCATCCGAATCCCGTAAGTGTGTCGGCCTAATGAATTGCGGTTGCGAAAGACAATGAGAGTAAATTCGCAAATCGATGGATGCCAATGGGAGAGTTTCACCAGAACGATAACAGATTTGAATATAGGCATTAACCTAAATAGCCCCTAAGCGTCAGAGCAATGGGGAAAAACTAGTAACACGCACCTAAGGGCTGAGCCCAAGCACCCTTTGGGAGGCCTAGCTACTACAAAATGCCAAAGTAATTCTTGCCGTCGTCATCGATATCGGCCCCGCCCTGGGATTGGGGAAGGTGTTGTCTCCACCTTGAATCGAGAGGTTGAAGTGTCTCAACAGCCAGCAGGAGCGCACAAACCAGCAGCACAGACGGAAGAGTCTGACAGCATCCGAGACTCGATTGTTCAGTGTCAATAAGAACGAGACTCAAGGCCAGCTCATCAGCCTCCTTCCCGAGGCTCGGGACTTCGCGGTCCGTTTGAGCGCGAATTAGAAAAAGATAGCTTGTCCCTACGCCTGGCGGATTACGCCGCGTGCCTTGTTTGGCTTAGCAGCTTTAGCGCGCCCAAATTACGATAAACTTTTGTATAGAGCAAACAAGACACGCGCGTAATTCCTGCCAGGCGTAGGGAACAAGTATCATTTTTCTATTCGCTCAAACGGACCGCGAAGTCCCGAAGCCCTGGAAGGAGGCTGGCAGCTCATGTGCCTCTGACCGGCTTAAACAGGTTAGCGAAATTGCGTGCGAAATCAATCGACAGTGTGAGCATTTATATCTTGAACTGCAACCACCCACGTTCGCGTTTCCATCTTTGAAGGCAACGAATGTTTGAAGGTTCTCATGATTCTTCCATCCATGGGGGACATTTCATAATATCCAAGGAATCAAATCAACTATAATAGTACCTCTCAGGTTCAGTGAGTATTATTCAAAGAAAACTATGCCACATGCATCTTATAATTTACGATCGTCTTGAACCAAATTAAATCCTGTCCAGGATGCATCATAGCGAAAAGAAATCTGAGCATCACTCTAACATGCCTATCAAGGGACTCGTGTTGCAATCCTCATTCCCTCATGGAAGCGGCTGGCTGATGATAAGAGCCCCAAAAATTTTTTTTTTTATTTTGGGGCTTTATGAATTGCTGGAACAGGAAAATCCCACCAATTGCTCAGAGCTTGTTTGTGTGCAACTGGGCAAGAAAAGGGCTTTTCAGTAGCCAGTTTCGTTGCTCCCCAGGAATGCAGTGAAAAGAAGTGATATAAGAAATTAGTGCCCACTATTGTGGATTTTATTGCAAGGGCAGACAATATGTTTTGCCAAAGTAACTTTGGGCATGCTCAGAGAAGGAGCCAACTCTGTGGCAAAATAACTCTGTGTCTGAGCAAATTTAAATTGCTCTTGGTAAATCAAACGCATTTCATTGCCAAAATAAGTGGATCATTCTTGTTATTGATGGCCTTGAATGAGTGCCTCTGACCCCTTCATGCTACCAAAGAAGCTCATTGAACATTGATTGACAATGTCATATTCTAACCAGCCATATTTCGTGCTAGTTCCGGGAAGAAAAATCCATTTCCCACAGACTTAAATACACTCATGAAACAGCCAAGTGGCCGCTTCATGAAGTTGGATGGATTTATTGTGCAAGCAGATATTTACAATTATCTCCAAGTTTCATCTGTCCAACATTTGATGGCCTGTACCCAACTTGAGGGACTATGC